GTGTGTGTGTGTGTGTGTGTGTGTTTGCAAGCTTGTGCTTAAGTGTGAATCTTTATTTAGGAGTAAACTACAACAATCTCTTCTGTTTGTGCATAAATCAAACATAGCATGATCTCAAAGTCGACTGGCTTTAAAAGAGTGTGCTTTAAAATACTGCCATTTCCTGTTATTTATTAACACGTAAATACTAAAAAAAAACTCATTTAAAACATAATCTCATAACATATCAGACACAGCTGCTGTAGACCGGCAGGTGTCTGTTTGAGAGATCAAACAAAAGGGTAATTCACTGTGAGACGGACAGACTTGATTGGCTGTTGTCAATAACAGGAAGTGAATAAACTGCGTATTTTTTATAAGGTTATATTTATATATTTGTAGTTTTTAATGTATTTATCTATATATATATATAATTTTTTTTTCATATGTGTGTAAATATATAATATATTATTAGTAGTATTTATAAAGTATTTTTAATATTTATTTTATATCTATATATAATTTTGGCTAACTATAAATACATGTAAAACTGTGTATAAATATATTTAGAAGCAGTTTGCTATCGACTGCGTGTTAGTGACAGCAGCCAATCAACAACTGTCTTTCCAATGTCTCTGATATTCTCTGTAGACCAGTGGATTAAGTGTCCTACAAACTTTACAATCTTTGCCTTAAAGACTGCTTTAAATATAAACAAACTTGGAGATCAGCAGGTATTATAAACAATGCAGAGAGAGAGCTCAAATCGTCACGTTCCTACGGCGATGCAGAACATCCCGGGATCAGTGCCAGCCCCCCCCCAACCCAATCCCCCTTCTTACTGCATGCGCTCATAACACCTCCTGGTGTATCGACCTTCTCTGTGTATACACACACACACACACATATACACATGTGCACGTATTGGGAAAACCATCCCACCAATTTGTCTTTGAGGATGTCAAATCACAATAATTAAGCATCATTGATTTGAGAACGAATTAACTTCATTAAGGTGGTTGAGAGCGCTGAGGTGGAGGGTTGGAAATGAGAGGGGAGATTGAAAATGAGGGAGGAGATTACAGTACCTCATTAGGAGGGAAATGACGAAGGCGGGTAAAAGACAATGGAGGTTTGGAGAGAGTGAAAACACAGAAGACCTCCGAGCAGATCAGTTCCTTTTTAATTTTATGAAAATGTAAAAATCTGGAAAGTTCGACTTTAACTTTTACCAAATAATACAAAATGTAACACTTTTATAATTGTTATTATAAAACAAAAATAGTTGTTTTATAATTATTCAATGAATCATCATTTTAAGGTTTTCAGAAAAAGTTTTTGGATTTAAATCATTAGTCTATGTCAGGGATGTCAAACTCATTTTGATCGAGGGCCACATCAGCAATACAGTTTCCCCGGAAGGACCAGCTGTCAATGGAAGACTGTATAGATCAGGGGTCCCCAAAACAAAAAGGTTGGGGACCACTGGTATAGATGTAATGACCCCTTAAGAGACAAATGTTTCTGCAATTGATTATTATTTGATTGATTATAAAAACTTTTAATTTCTTAGGTTAAGAAAATCTGCTGCATGGACTTTACTAAACACTTTTTATGCACCTGCGGGGAGGCCACAGCACTTAATCATGTATTTAGAAAATTAAATGTGACTACGACGCCCAAGTTGACTTTTGAAATCATATTTGTAGATCAAAAGGTTTCAGAATTCAAAAGTGGTTGAGGGTGAGTTTAAAGGAGGTAGAAATGTTTCTGAAAGTAAACAGTTTAGAGATGTTTTTTTATGTTAAAGCTAACCCCCTTTGTGAAGCTGTACATCTACCCCTAGATTCAGCCTGGGTGTCATTGTTCTTGTTTTTTTAACATCTCCAACACTGATGAGTTCCATTTCTGCCTGCATCCACTTAGTCCAAATATTTGCAAATTAATACATTGTTGAAAATAAATACACATTTTACAGTTAGTTTTGATCATTGTCATCTGTCAATAATATGATTGGGATATTTCTGTTCTGCTCTTCTTGCAGTTCATTCATAATATTGACTTAATTATGACTTTTTGTCGTATCATACACTCGTATTCTTAACACACGGTGGCTGATAATGAAGTGTTGCATACGAGATTTGCCATTGGTGCGTAGCCGTGATGAGTTAAGCAAATCCGCTGTTACTCCAAGTGCTGCTGCTGTTTTTTTCAGCCACAGCATTGTTCTCTAAAGCAGCTGTGTGTTTTTTTTTTTTTTTTTTTTTTTGCTGATTCAGAACAGATGGCTGGTCCATGTGGCTCAGGTCTGCTGCTCGTATGTAGTACAGGAGAGTGGAGCAGCGTGAGTGTGTGTGCGCACATGTCCATAAACCTTAAAAAGCTGCAACTGAGACAGATCACAGACGCTTTTAAACAGAACCTTGTTCTTCACAGCAGAATCAAGTCAAACCACATGACCTCCTGCTGCTTGGACACACATCACGTGACCCCGCAGTTCTTTTAAACTGCACACGAACATGAGCTCAAGTTAGGCTCCAGAGTTAAAAGGGAAGACATTTACCATGTGGAACTAATCATAGCTATTTTAGGCCGAAATTCACAAGTATTGATGCGAACCAAGGTTTTACTTTTAGCATTAGATTTGCTTTAATTTTAGAAAAACACAGATTCTATATATTAATAAGTTTTAAATAGATACATGGATGGATGAATGAATGGATGTACTTTATTGATCCCAGGCTGGGAAATTGCAGAATTGCATTTTGTTACCTTTGTTAAGTTTGACAACTCAATAATTTTTGGTGCATATTTAAATTAACCATATGTAAGTCCAGGTGATTTATATGGATTTTTCTTAAATCTTATTTTCCAGACTATAAGTTGTGCCAGTCGAAAAATGCATAATTAAAAAAAAAAAAAAACATATATAAGTTGCTCCTGAGTATAAGTCGCACCAGCCAGCTAGTGGTACAAGAGTTGCAGATACTGGTACACAAGTCTAGAGTGCCCTCTAGTGGCTGTCAGTCTGAAAATAACAAACAGGTGAAATTATACATTTTAATATATAAAAGCCGCACCTGAGTATAAGTCGCAAACCTAGCCAAAGGATGGAAAAAAGTGTGCTATATAATTTTTTAAATACTGCTTGAGTGTGTTTTTTAAAAAAAATATTTTTAAATACTGCTTGAGTGTGTTTTTTTTTTTAAAAAAATTGCCATTACTATTGACCATCTTCACAGATATTTTAAGCACCTACAGGTTAGGTAATCTGGTGAAACTTTTTTGGGGTTTTTTTATTTTCTTGATCCCACACAGACTGAGGATGTAGCATACAGGTACTCTTGAAATTGCCTGAAGGCACAGACTTGTTAAACCACTGCAGTTACAATGAAACAGCTCCATATGTGTGTGTGTGTGTGTGTGTGCAACTGTGCACACGTGTGGTGTGCTCGGGGATATCTGTGCCTCAGTGCATCTGTTTACCTCTCAGTGTCATATCTGCTGTCGGCATTGGTTTGACAGTGACAGAGACTTTTCTCTGTTGTGTTGCTGATGCAGTGTTAAAGGGTACACTGGCACACATGCACACTGAGACACATGTAAACAGGATCAGCTGTAAATAAAGATGGCAACAGCTGAAGTGTCTATCTCCGTTTATCTGACTTTTTTTTTTTGTTGCGTCTCTGGTGAAACAGTTGTTTTCTCTTTTACTTTCAGTAATTGTAACTACTCTTACAGTTACCATGTATTTCCCTGTTACAGGTGTTGTTTTGGAAATACAATATAATATAATAATATATATATTTTAAAAAGTCAACTGAGGCAAAACATGTTCCGTCGATTCAGACTATATAAATAACATTTATTTGAACTATGTATACATTTGCACTCGGACAAATGACGAGAAATTTCACACAGGAGTACTTGGTATTGAGCTGCTCATCTTGGCACATACAAAAGTACGACTGTTACTACATCTTCCTTTTTTCTTTTGTCTCCCAGTCAAATTAAACATTTACCATATTAATGTGTTATTAGATACCGAAGGAGTATTAGCTTCACATTAAACCTGTTTTAACCTGGATGTTATTTTTTATTGAGCTCAATAATCAATAATAATACAATAACACTAAATGATACAGAGCTAAGCAGATATCACATATGTTTAAATAAAACCTGAATGTCATGCTGCCTGTAAACTATCAAAACCATAGTGAGATACAGGCCCACTGCTACCTCCTGAGGTCAGTTTGTGTCACTGAGATAAAGCCTTAAAATAAAACACTGAAAATAATCTGAACTATCATATTTTCCTGGTGTTGTATAGCCCTTGTATTTACTAAAAAAGTGAGTAAGTGAGTAAAACGTTTATTGACACACAACAAGGCATTTTTCCTGGGTTGTACAGAAAGATTCATTTTCTCTATGTGATTTCCATCATGGTTTTTGTCAAATGAACATAAATTAAACCATGGAGCTCAGTCCCTGAAGCTAAACTGTAAATAATAACCCTAAACTTTTTTTTTCTCATACTGAGTAATTGAAGTAAATGGGTTTTTGCATGAAGAGATGTGTAGCAGGCAAATGTACACGTGCATTCATTTTTATTTACGAGGAGGCAGCGGCAGCACTGTGGCAGTGACGGCAGATCTTGCTGTAATGAGTGAAAAATGCATGCTTAATTTAAATGGCGAGCGTGTCTGTTAGAGAATGCATTAGCGGCTGCAGCAGCAGCGTAAGAACATATTAATTGACAGACAGGAACCGCTGTCTCCGAGGTTGATACAAGTAATTTATTACTTCAGAAACCAACGCTGCCGCCACAATGTGCTTCATTAATTTCAAATTTAGTTTTAATTTCAAGCTGTTGCCTCTTGAGAAGAATAAGGTGGCAAGTCCTATTTGAAAACATTCCCCCTTCCCCTCCCTCCTAACCCTCCCCCATTTTTCTCTTTCCATCGTCCTCCATCTCTTTCTTTGTCATTTTTTTTTTCTTTTTGCTGTGTCTGATTTTCTGCATGTCTAAACAAAGACCTGGAGGCTGTGGAGGTAGATTGGAGAAGGAAAGAGTTGGAGTTTCAATTCCAATTGTGTAACAAAAAAAAAAAAAAACCCAAAACCTAAAGGAACTGTAGTCAGTCGTGAAGTTACTTGATTGGTTCCTGACAGGAAACAATGTCTGAGTGTTGCTGAATGATCACTGATTTATATTTGGTATTTTGGGTCCTAAACCATGAGGAACAAAGTACTATAACCTGATGAAGACCTTATTTGAGTAGATTTTGGCACAGTCTGATGGCGGTGGATTCGCTCTTTAGCTTAATTTTTCTTCAGTAGAAACAAGAAATCTTTCAACCCAGACAAAATTAAAGGCTTAAACGTCCCAGATTCACTCTAGTTAAATAAAAGTAGTAGTAAAGTAGTAGAGTAGTGTACAATAAACTGTATTACAATTGCAAGACCTTCTTGAAATATATCAATTGGGGGAATGGTAACAGACAGAGAGCAGACAAAATAATGTACGATACTTGCATGGCCTGAAGGGGGGCACTGCACAACAAATACATCCGAAAACAAACTGATTTAAGTGAGTCAGTGTTTTTCATTTTTGTCAAACAGAAGTTATTAGATCTCTGAAAATGGAAAAGTCTTAAAAAACATAGACACACGTTTTGTGTTTCATATTTAAATTGTGTTGGTTTTTATACATAATACTATATATTACAAAGATGTTTAAATATATATTTTTTTCTTTATATCTAAATAGCATACGTCCCTGAAGATGAAAAAGACACAGCCGTGCTGGATGAGGACCCAGATGGGGAAGATTCAGCTCAGGAAGGAGAGGAACCAGCTGCAAAGTTGTTCCTATGTCAGGACAAAGACTTCCTTCTGAAGGACAAAGCAGGATCCACCAGCTTCCATGACTCCCCAAATGCAGACTTTTCTGGCCAAGAGTTAGACAGTGATTCCCATGTGAGTGAGTCCAGTGACCGCATGTCTGACTTTGAGAGCTCTTCGCTTAAGAATGAGGATGACGTCCTCCTCTCAAAAGACTCTTCATTTCCCCTGTCTTTGACTTCCACATCGGCTCTTATAAACTCCGCCAGTTCTGCTCCAGTCACTGGAGATGAAGCCACTTTGGCCACAACAGGGTCCGTGGCTGACAGCCTAGAAAAGATGAAGGCTATTTACACCTCTTTTTTGACCAACTCGTACTGGTCTTCTCTGAGCCTGAGCCAGCCCCCTGCAGAAAAACCCCCACGCAGTCACAGCAGCAACAGCAGTAGCAGCAGCAGTAGCAGTTGTGGAAGTGGTAGCTATGACTGGCACCAGACTGCAATTGCCAAAACCCTTCAGCAGGCTTCGCAAAACCACCACCATCATCCCAACAGATTGGGACTGGTCCAGCACCCCTCAGTACCCGTATCTTCAGCATCTACAGAGCCAAACCTTTTCAGTACTGTCCAGCTGTACAGGCAGAGCTCTAAGCTCTACGGCTCTATCTTCACTGGTGCTAGTAAATTTCGCTGTAAGGACTGTAGTGCAGCCTATGACACGTTGGTGGAGCTAACGGTGCACATGAATGAGACAGGGCACTACCGGGATGATAACCATGAGACAGATAGTGAAGGCACAAAACGTTGGTCAAAACCTAGAAAGCGTTCTTTGCTGGAGATGGAAGGGAAGGAGGATGCACAAAAAGTGCTGAAGTGCATGTACTGCGGGCACTCCTTCGAATCCCTTCAGGACCTCAGTGTTCACATGATTAAGACTAAACATTACCAGAAAGTGCCTCTGAAAGAGCCTGTGACACCAGTGGCAGCAAAGATAATATCCACAGCAAGGAAGAGAGTCCCCATTGATCTTGATGTTCCGAGTTCACCAGACTCTAATGGAGGGACCACCCCGAAACCACCATCCCTAAATGACTCTAATGACATACTCCAGAGGGTCACAAACCCTTACATTACACCCAACAACCGCTACGGGCACCAGAATGGCGCCAGCTACGCCTGGCAGTTTGAATCCAGAAAGTCCCAGATCCTCAAGTGCATGGAGTGTGGAAGCTCCCACGACACACTTCAGGAGCTTACTGCTCACATGATGGTGACAGGACACTTTATCAAAGTCACCAACACTGCAATCAAAAAAGGAAAACCCATTTTGGAGTCATCCACCTCTGCTCCAACCTCTATTTCAACAGTAGACGAAAAGATCCAATCAGTTCCCCTGGCAGCAACAACATTCTCTCCCCCTCCTCCTACTCCCATTCCTTCTGCAACCAGTATCTCCCCAAACACCATGGTAGTGGAGATCAAAAAGGAGGAAAAAGAAGAAGAATGCACCAAAGAATCCATTATCACCAATGGGGATGTTCTTAATAAAGAGAAGATGGCAGGGTTTGATGAGGAGGAAGAGGAAAAGTTTGATATATCCTCAAAATACTCTTACCTGACTGAGGAAGACCTAGATGAAAGTCCAAAAGGAGGTCTGGATATCCTCAAATCTTTGGAAAACACCGTGACTTCAGCCATTAACAAGGCCCAGAATGGTGCTCCCAGCTGGGGAGGATATCCTAGTATTCATGCAGCCTATCAGCTGCCAAATATAATGAAGCTCTCCCTGGGACATACTGGAAAGAATTCCCCTCTCAAATATATGTTCCCACCTGGTGAAATTCTCTCTCCTACCAGCAGGAACCCGATTTCAATATCCTCTCCCAGCCATCAGACATCAGTTTTGCCCAAAAACAACTTCCATGCAATGGAGGAACTAGTCAAAAAGGTGACAGAGAAAGTTGCTAAAGTAGAGGAAAAGATGCGAGAGCCGAGTGATGTTGTGAGAGCATCCCCAATGAGACAAGCAACACCCTCACCATGCAATAGTGAGACAGGGGATGCCGTCCAAGAAAAAAACCCAAAGGAAAACAGACCAGAAGTCTGTAAAACCCTCGAAAATGCGAAGGGAGGAGACAAAGCAGTGGGTAACTGCACCCATTATGCAGAATCTAATGGAAACTCTTACTTAAAGGATCCGGTGGAGAATGGTGTGGGGTCATCAGCAGTGACTTCACCACCGCCTACTTCTTTAACATGCAGCACTGCCATAATCACAGATCATCCTCCTCCAGAGCAGCCATTTGTCAACCCTCTGAGTGCACTTCAGTCAGTGATGAATGTTCACCTAGGGAAGGCCGCAAAGCCTGCTTTACCTTCCCTGGACCCAATGAGCATGTTATTTAAAATGAGCAACAGTCTGGCAGAGAAAGCAGCAGTGGCGACCTCTAACCCACCAGCACAGACCAAAAAACTAAGCAATGACCACTTAGATCATTACTTCTACCAACAGCATCTAAACAATGACCAGCCCATGGACCTCACTAAAGGCAAGAATACAGACAAAAACTGCAGCAGCAACTCCTCATCTGCTTCAACACTATCCTTGCTTACTCCAACCTCCACCATGACAATGACCAAAGCCTCTTCTGCAGTAGCTTCTTTCATGTCCACATCCCCGCTGAGGGAAAATGCCTTGTCAGATATCTCTGACATGCTTAAGAACCTTACAGAAAGCCAGTCCCTGTCTAAGTCATCCACACCCACTAGCCATTCTGAGCGCTCCGATATCGATGGTATCACACAGGAGGAGACAGAAGAAGTTTCACCAGCCCAGAAACGAAAGGGCCGACAGTCAAACTGGAACCCTCAGCATCTCCTGATCCTGCAAGCACAGTTTGCCTCAAGCCTGAGACAAACTAACGATGGCAAGTACATTATGTCTGACCTGAGCCCACAGGAGAGAATGCATATATCTCGATTCACTGGTCTCTCTATGACAACCATATCCCACTGGTTGGCCAACGTCAAGTACCAGTTAAGAAGAACTGGTGGCACCAAGTTCTTAAAAAACCTGGACTCGGGCCATCCTGTCTTCTTCTGTAGTGACTGTGCCTCCCAGATCCGCTCACCATCCACCTACGTCAGCCACTTGGAATCTCACTTAGGTTTTCGCCTTCGAGACTTGGCTAAACTTTCTGGGGAGCAGCTCCTGAGCCAGATATCACAGCGGCATCACCAACAACAACGGCACACCAAAGGACTTTCTGAGAAGTTGTTGTCTAACCTCCACCAATCTAGCTACCCTTTACCTTCCACTCTCCCTACAGCCACACCTTCTTCATTACCTGTACCTTCCTCCCTTTCTACCTCCCTGCCCTCCACTAAGTCTCCATCACCTTCAACAGAGGAGGATAATGATGATGGTGGGGCCACTTACCAGTCCAAGCTCTGTAACCGGACATTTGTGAGCAAGCATGCGGTTAAACTTCATCTGAGCAAGACTCATGGGAAATCGCCTGAGGACCATCTCATGTACATGTGTGAGCTGGACAAACTGTAGCACTGGTTGAATATGACCATGATATGCTCTTATCTTCACAGCTCACATTTGTCTCTCGATCTTTAACCTTTTGCAAATGTGATAGAACCGCACAAAGATGCCATACTTCTACTGCTTTCTTGGGCACATGGACTCTCTATTTTTTTTTCTTTTGTAGCATTGTGTTTTTCCATCCTCTGGCCTAAACCCTTTGGATGATGTGATCCCCTAGGATAGGACTAGTAATTGAATTTTTGGTGGCGTGGGAGGAGTTGAAACACAACAAAGTGTTCCAAAGGTTCAACCAAGAAAAAAAAAGATTTTCATAATATGTATTTTGTGTACATTGAAAGATAATGTTTTGTTTTCTTCTGGCAGCCTTTGGGTGTAATGAGCTGCATGCAGAAATGAAGGGACTCAGTTTGAACATTTTTATAACTTAATCTGGTGCACTTTTCATGCTTTTTTTGTTCCTGTCTACAGTTTAAACTTGTGTGCTCCTTTTGTCATTTGTAAACTGTCCTGTCTACAGTTTAAACTTGTGTGCTCATTTTGTCATTTGTAAACTGTTTGTTTTGGTTTTTTTTTAAAGAAGGAAGAATGCATTTATAATTGTAACCCTCTGAGTACTTCAAAACACTTCTACATCCCTGAGTTAACCACAACCAGGAGCAGTTATGAGACTGGAATATAACAAAGGTAAATCTGGATGTATTTGACTAACAACGCACGACTGTGTTTGGTTTAAAGTGGTGTATGTCAGTCTTTGACCACATATCTGCTGCTTCTTCTGGTCAGTTTCTGTCACTGGGGAAAATGTGAACACAAGATTTAAACAGTGAAGTCACAAAATAAAAGAGTTGAATTCAAGAATAAACCCAGCAATGGATCGACAGCTACTATGTCACTGTGAGATAAAATTACTTATTCATCAACAAACATGATCGTGAATGGTTTACTACTATAACATTAAAGGGTGAAGTGTTCGCCAATCAACCAGAACATTATGACCACTGACAGGTGAAGAGAAAAAAATGATTATCTCTATGTTATGGCTCTTACAGAATTTGCATGGCAGCAAATAAACAAGTTCTTCCAAAAATGTATGTGTGGGTAAGACGATTTAAGCAGGTTTGACTCTGGTCAAATCGTGACGGTGAGACAACATGGATAGAGCACATCTAAAACTACTGTGCCTGCAGGGTATTTCCTGTCTCCAGTGGCGAGTATCAATCAAATGTGATGAATAATTACTGACAGTGTGAACTGCTGATGAGGTTGGTGGCAGCCAAGGCACATTGATTCATATAGGTAGGGTATGTTGGCCTTAGTAGTCGGAGCCAGCAGACAAGCTACTGTAGTTCACATACAGTAGCTGAAGAAGTCATTGCTGGTTCTAACAGAAAGTTGTCAGAATACGCAATGCACCACAGTTTGTCCAATTTTAGCAGCAAAATGTGGAACATCTCATTATCAGCCAGGTGGTCATAATGTAATGGATTTAGTAACTTGTTGTTAAGCAGTGATTTTAGCTGGATTTTTTGCTGTTGCTACAATACTTCAATTAAGAAAAAGTCTCTCAAAAACTTTTTACCTTTGGTCATTTAGGGACCTACACTATAATTGTTAATTCAGGTCTGTGTAAAATATGTATATAAAATAATCATATAAAATAATTCAAGTCTAAATTATGCATCAATTTTATATTTTTAATTTAAGATGATTTTGACTATCTACTGGTTCACAGAATATGAAAACATGAATAAAGTGGTTTTGCACAAAAGTATTTATAAATGTGTTATTAATTCAAATAAGACATTAAAAACAACATGAGGTCTTTTTGTATTATTCCCAACTTTTGCTCAAAGGGTTAAGGACTTGATTCAACCAAACTTAACTCGTGCCACTGTATGAACTCAAGATAAAGGTTGTACAAAAGGAAAGAGATATACAAAGATATGTGACATGTACACTGTTATTTATAAGCCCTTCTAATTGTTTGATATTGTTGAATGACATTTTATTATTTTCCCCCCTATTTTTCACACAGCAGCTTTACCTTTGTAGGATGTGAAAGGTAACAATTGTTACAAAGAAATCTGTTATTATTATTGATGAAGATGACGAATTAAACCTTACGTGTAAAATATGGGCATGTGAAGAGCACAGAGAGTGTGAAAATGTCTGTGCTTCTAATCTTAATTCTTTTTTTTTTTCTTTCCTGGGGCAATTTGGGCAATGAGGCACACCCATTCTATGACTTCATATACCCTTGTTTTCTACCGCAGCATTAAAAAGGAAACTGTTTTTGATACTTTCACTGTTTCTGTGTTTGTGTTAGTTCTGTAAAACACATTACAAAATAAAAATAAAATCAATTATCAATACATATTAAACACATTAAACACATACCAAAACACTAACCAATAGAAATCCACTCAACAGATCTTAGCAGTTGTGACAGTTCTAGATGTTAAAGGAGACCCCCAATACAGAACAGCTGTGAAATTATTCACCTACAACAGACTGAGTGTTTATGTTTCTCGTTAGCTTACGACAAAAATGTGAAAAATGAATGGATGATTCCTTCGTCAGTTTTATTTGTATAGTCCAATTGCATTCAACCCATTTGCCTCAATTTAAATTACATTTTTAAAATTATAATTTAAAATTTCCTAACCCCTCCTCTCCTCCCCCTAATGTAACAAGGATTAAAAATATTGCGTTGTGTCCTGAGACATCAGGAAGCAGGCAAGACCCAAATGTAGCAATCAAGAGACAGTTGCAGGTGGTTTATTCATTTTCAGTTCAACTGAAAAACATCCACTGGAAAACCGGACATGAATCAGGAACTTGGAACCAGAACCAAGGCACACAGGAATGTAGCCCAGCACATAGCCAAACATATCAACCTTTACATGCACAATGATGCCACAAAGAGACTGAGGGAGAGAGGTATACATACCCAGGGCAATAGGTGACACCAGTGAGACTAACGACAAAGACACAGGTGAGGGTGATCACACTGATCAACTCAACACACAGGAGGAAAGGGAGACTGACAGACCTAACAGAACATATATATTGTCAATATCATTTTGATAAAAGGGAGACTGACAGACCTAACAGAACGTATATACTGTCAATATCATTTTGATATACTGTATGTGATGTATCAACCAAACAAATTTAAGCTGAAAACATTTAACAGATCAAATAAGATCTCATGCTGAGCAAGCATTTGGGTTGGGAGCAATGACTTACTTTAAACAGGAAGAAAATTTCAGCAGAGACAGAAAGGGGCAGGCACACAAACAGTTGATAGGCATTCGATACGACTTTATCATTAGTGTTCGATGTTAAAGTAGTTAAGCTCAGTTAGATTTTATAAGTTATGAATTACAATATGAACAATGACAACAGTGTCAGGTCTGGCTCAGGTACTGTTGATCCGAGAGGTAGTGGAGAGAGAGTGCTCGTAGTCTAGCCTCATGGCAGCATAATTAAGGAAGTAAAAATATGAAGTAGTAAAAATATGAAAAAAATATGAAGTAAAAAAGAGAGTGTTAGCCTTCTGAACCAACACTGGCAGCTGGTTCCAAAGGTGAGGAGTCTGGTACCTGAATGCTCTGCCTGCCATACTACTCGTATACACTCTGGGAACTGTGAGCAGGCCTATGATTTTAGAGTGAAGTGATTTGTTAGGTTAGTATGGTCCCATTTGTTCGATAATGTACATATGATAGCGTTCAGTCATGAAGTGGGTTATTTGTAAAGGATTTTAAAGTGTACCCTAGATTTTAGAGGGGGCCAGTGGAGAGAAACCAGGACTGGAGTGATATGCTCTCGCTTTCTGGTTCCTATTAACACTCTGCTGCAACATTTTGGATAAACTGGCCTGACAGCAGGCTGAGTGTTACAACAGTCCAAATCCAAATGTAACAAGGACCTTAACTTTTTTTGGCATCTTTTAATGTAAAGATATTTCCAGGGTGAAAGTGGGATTTGGCAGCTGAGGAACTCTCAGCCTTTGGGTCAATGGGTTAAAAGGTTAAATGAATAAATAAATTTCCTATGTAACAACATAAAACAGTATTGTGTATTAATTTTCGGACAGTATCACTGTAATTCTAGGTATCACAAACTACTTTGCTTGACATTTATTGGTTTTATTTTGAGCCATCTACACTGGGGCAGTGGTAGCTTAGTGGTTAAGGAAGCAGACTTGGGTCCGGAAAGCTTCAGGTTTGAGTCCAGCTGCCAAGTTACCACTGAGGTGTTCTGAGCATGGCACCGTCCCCACACACTGCTCCCTGCACGCTCAAAACTGCTGTTCACTTTGGTGATGGGTTAAAAGCAGAGGTCACATTTTGTTGTGTCACAGTGACAAGTAGTTTACTTTCTTTTTCTTTTCTTTCTTTCTATTTGGCAATATGTAATCATTGCTGAACACCATAATATGATTCGATATGTATGATTGATATGTATCAATCTTAATTCAAAAATAAAAAGTCCAAAACTGACAACCCCAAAATGGATGCAGACAAGAACTGTATCATAAACCGCTGTATCATAAAAGTGCTCCACAGCATCAACAGCCAATGCCAGTGTTTACGCCACTGTCAGCGCTCTGCAGCACTAACAGCTATTGCTGATTTTTATACCGATGATGCCGGTGTTACCACTCCGGACCAAAGCCGGTGACTCGCGCCAAGACAAGAAGAGACGGTGCAAACCTCATATCCTTCGTTAGGGGAAATGGATAAGTTAACAGCACTAACCGGACATCACAGGGAATACTGGGAGTGTTCACAGAAACATGGATAAACTCTTCTCTGTACCTTTCTATTTTGTCGTCCAATAACTTCCTTTCGGGATGAATAAAGGACTATTCAGTTAACCAGGTAGGCACATTGCTTCACCATTTTGGTTGTCAGAAGTCCAGCCTGAAGGACATTGCACATATAGTACCGGTTGCTAGGATGTCTAATGGGACAATTTGGGGGCGGGGTTTTGCAAAAGGTCTCTTTTCTGGTTCCCGTGAGCTCTGCAGCAGTGAGCAACAGACTTATTCTATTTTGTCGTCCAATAACTTCCTTTCGGGATGAATAAAGGACTATTCAGTTAACCAGGTAGGCACATTGCTTCACCATTTTGGTTGTCAGAAGTCCAGCCTGAAGGACATTGCACATATAGTACCGGTTGCTAGGATGTCTAATGGGACAAAAGGTCTCTTTTGGGACTTACAAAATAAAAGCTGGTGAGAGAAACAGACATTCACAAAAAAAAAAAAAAAAACTGCATTAAAGTGCAATAAAACAATTGTTGGTGTTAACTAAGTGAGTTAAGTTACCCAGCCATAATATCTATATATATATATTTTATATAGACACTTCACTTCCATCAAAAGCATCTCAACTTAAAATATCCTCCCACCATATGTTTGTAAAAGTGTAAAACTTCAAGTCGGTCACGAAGGAGATCTGTCAGATCTGTCATCTGTCTATTGTCAAAT